CCTCTCGTCGCGGCGCACCTGAAGACACCGACCGTTGCAGCAACTAATGAACTCCAGCGACCATGATCAGAGCTCGTCTTCTCTGCGCGCCACCACCGGGCGCCGCTGCCAGTTTGCACATCAACCCGGGGAATTTTCGGCTACCGGAGTTCATTCCTTGCTCTTCCTTGGAACTTCAACCTCCATTTTTTTGGCGAACTTCGCGAGGTATAATGTCTTTAACCGTCTCCTTTTGCTTTCTTCTTTTGGTTCTTGAAATTTGGTTAGAACTCTACTCTTATCGGAGTAGTAAGTGTAATTGAATCTCTTGGTGTTTTTATGGTAATGTGTATTCTTGGTGTGATGCATGGTTTTAATTGTTAATCTCGCTTGTGAGGTGTTTGACAAATTGCTTGAAAGGAAAAAAAATTGGGCAGCAGCGATGCTGTGACTGTTGAGTCGTTTTTACCCTCGTAACTTGCCTATAAGTGGTCGATGTCTTCTCGAGAATTGTAGTTCTTGTTCTTGTCTTCTCATAGCATTTGGAATTAATCAAGTAGCTTTTTTTAGTAAGAGATATGTTTAAAGTTTGTGGACTGTGCACAAGTGTTTCGCCCATTTTTCGGCAGCAGGTATGTCCTATTCGGAGGCTATTTTCACCCTAAAATATTCTACTTTAAAATATTGTTTAGTTGGGAGAAAAAGAAAGGGAGGGGAGGGGAGAGGAGGGGTTTATTTTACTTTTATCTTGTTTGGTTCAGAAATCTGAATAGGAGGAGAGAGAAAATTTTTAACTTAGAATCCTTTCCCCTCTCTATTTTTTGTTCCCCTCCAAAAGTGGGGGAATTTGGAAGGGAGGAAAAATTTTAATACACTAAGTATAATTTTACCCTTATTATATATAATATTTTATTTTCATTTCTAACATTATTATTCATTAGGGATATATTTATCATTAAAATATTATTTTTCCTCCCCTTTCATTATTTTACCAAACAAGTTTACCATTTTCCCTCAACCTCCCTCTACCAAAATACCATGGTTTAGAAAACTGGACCGAATCGGCCGGTCCGACCAGTTGAACCGGTGTTTTGTAGTATTTTGTTGGTAGTTGGTAACCGAGCTACCCGACCTCGAGTCGTTCTCAAAGGAAGACAGTTCGGAGCTTTGTTCACCACTCAATTGTCCAAATCACACAAAATGAGAAAATAAAAGCTAAACATGCTAATCAGTTGGTTGGAGAGTGAATTAATGCTAATCGATGCTCGGAATTGAAAGAAGCAAATAAACTAGAGAATAAAGCAATTAACACTACCAGAGTCTCTATGCCATCGAAACCAAATGAATTCACTGACGAACAATATGCAAGTTCTAAGCACTAGGTCACTAACTCTAACCTTCTAACATAAGTGATTAAGCTCTAAATAAAGTCCTAACCCTTAATCTAGATAGACAAGTAATTAATCCCTTCTAAAACAAGCAAGAGCAATGATCAAGTCCAAACATTCCCTCCATCATCAAGCAAACACCCAAATTCATCTTGATAATCATCATAAGTAAAAACGAGGCAAAAGTCGAAGTAATGAGCTTTAAAAGTAAATACCCAATCTTCTATTGCGCGCTAGACGAAAATTGGAGTGAAAAGCTCGGAACTTGAACAAAATAAGAGTCGCCAGAAAACTCGCCGGAAAATGATGTCATAGAGCTCCCAAGAGAGAGAAGAGAGAAAACTAAAAAGAAAAACTTAATTCCTAAAGTGGAAAAGTGACAAATGAAATCTAGATGATCCAAATACAAAGGACCAAATGTATTTATAGTCCAGCTCAAAACACACACTGGATTCACGCACATTTAATAACAACACTCCAGAACTCGCTAATTTTTCCGCAGGTCGTGGGCAGCATGTGGCACGGAGTCAGCACGAGGGAGGTTCGGTATGGCGCGAGGGAAATTGATACTCTCGACATCGCGGACGGATCGACGCGCGCGGACGGGCAGACGGACAACACTCTCGACGTCGTGGGCTTCTTCGCGGGTGCGGGCGGTAGCGGAGGCACTCTCGAGGTCGCGGCAAATGTGGCGAGGTCGCGAATGGCACTGTACGAGCAAATGGCTACTTCTCGTGGTTGCGGAGTTTTCCGAAGGCATGGGCAAGCAGCTAGCGACGCTCTCGTGCTCGCGGATGTTTCCGCGAGGTCGCGAGTGGCTCGAGGGCGCGGACCGAGGCGTGAGCTCGCGAGTTTCCGGGCTCGCTTTTGGGACTTTGGTTAACAAGGCATGACTTACTCGAAATGGGAACGATTCGTACGACATGGCTCAAAACTTCTCGGCAATGACCCGAAATTCATTGGAAAGTGCTCGTCTCTCGGGACTTGGTTCGACTTCTCTCATCTACCTCGGAATAATCCTGAAAATACACTCTAGAGCACGGAAAAGTATGCAAAAAATATAGAATAAAGAGAAAGACAAAGAAAACACACGAAATACGATAAAATGGACCGGTCGACACAAAAATGAACTTAAAATTAATAAACTAAAGCACATAAAAAACACGAAAATAAGCACAAAAACACAATAAACAACTGGTTCACGGACAACATATAAAACCGGTCAAAACCGGTTGTTTAAACTGGTCATTTTTTATTTTTGTTTATTTATTTATTTATTTTCTGGAAATAAGAGTAAGTTCTAACACTTTTATAAAGCTAACCACTTATTACATTAATCAATGTGGGACAAGCAGGAGCCGTGTAGCATGGAGTGCGTACCGAGGAAAAGATATGCTTCCTCTTGTTTTTTTATAGATGTCGTTCTGCATTAATAAATCATTAGTTAAATACATATCGTTTTAGATTTTTTATTCACATTTTTCCATTTTGACCCCTATATATCTCTCCATATTAAACGTCCTTCCATTTCCCATCCCCATATATCTTTCCATATTAAACGTCTCTCCATATCCCATCTTCATCTTTTATAAGAACATAATCTCTATTCCCATGGCTATCAATAATTTTTATCTCACTTTATATCTTTATATTCTTTTCCAATCCATCTTCCACAATTTGTGTGTGCCTCTTTTAATCCAAATTTTTTCTAAGCCTTTGATTCTGGTTCCATTGTTCTCCTCTTTATTTTTTTCTCTTACGATTTATGGATTCGAAAGGTTATGATTCTTCAAAATCGAATCCAGAAATTCACTTTGCTAAATTTGTTCAATCTCATAAACTTCTTGTGGATGAATTCCTTCAACTATTGGAGAAGACAAAGGCAAGTTTCGGTGATGCCCATTTAATCTCTTTGCAAATTAATGATTCGACAGAGTTATTTAAGATGTATGTGTCTGATTCGGATGTTGAAGATGATGTTCATCAATGTTCTTACCCCAATCACTTTGCAGCTGGAACTAGTTTTTCAGAAGGTAAAAGCGCCACAATGGTTGAGGAGAAGCCTGTTGTTGTTGGTGAAGCAATTTCTCTCCCCAATGATGAAGTTGTGAACGAGATGTTGAAGATTTTTATGTCAAGTCTGTTTACCGAAAAGCTCCCGACTAACGTGGCAGATTTTTTTTGAGCGGAGTGTCTTGTTCGTCTATTTTTTTTTGCTCGAGTAATCTATTGTTATTGTGACAACACCTTTTTTTTTTTTCTAAAAATTGGGAGAAGTGAATTGTGCTCGTGTTGTAGGTTTATATTTTTATCTTCTGGTTGATTTTCAACATTAATGGCACGCTTGTTTCGTTGTATACCTTTGTGTTGTTATTGTTGGCTTCAGTTTTGATACATAGATTGATATTATTTCATAATTTGTTGTTCATTACTTTTCTGTTTGCTCAGAGGGGTCCAGAAAGAGGAAATAGAAGAATTATTGCATTGTAGTTTAAGTGAGATTGAACACGGTGGATGAAATAATCTCAGATGCTTTTTTTCTTATGTAATTACACAAAACACTTGAGAGTTATGTAAAAATCTTGCTACCATCACTTAAATGTTATTGAATGTCAAAGAGCAAAAATTTCTCCTATCGCTACTTCTTCTCACGACATATAATCATGATGACAAAAGTTTCATGTTTAGTAATTCAAAGAATAATATTGGCTTGGTGAGTTTTAAACGACTGCGAAAGTGAAACATCTTCTAACAGCTGTATACATTATTTTCAATTTGTTTCCTGCAGTTGTTCTATATGAAGCACGTTGAAGCTGTGATGTGTAACCCAGTCCTTGCATGGAGAGACCGTTTGTTGTTTAGGTCTTTTCCCCACCGTATTATATCGACAATCATATGCTATTTCCTATTGTTGGGATTAGCAAACCTTGCGACTGTTTTACCAAGAGAAGTTCTCTTGTGAGTGAACTACTTGTTTGTGCGTGAATTGTGTTGCTGTGAATATGTCAAATAATTCCGTTTGCTTCAAAGTATCCACAAGATTGATTTTTGTTGACCCTATATCTTTTCTAGAAACAATTGATGTTTTATGGGGCTCGTTTACTCTGAGTTCTTATGATTTTCATAACGAGATGAATTATGGCCTAGTTCGATACACTTGGCTGGTGGATTTTTGGAGAGTGACTGTTTAACGATGAAAATGAAATTCATTAATGAGAAGATGATCTCTTTGCTTTTTTTATTTTATTTTATTTGTAGATCAATATCTCTTTGTTTTTTCATTAAAATTGAAGATCAGTACCATGTTAGCATGCAGTGACAGTGAGTGCTCCACTGAAAAATCCATTATTTTTTTTCTCTATTAGAAAGTCTAATTGTCCCATATTAAAGTTGCTGGAGTTTTTAGTTGGACCTTCATTTGTGTTGATCAAGACATTTTTTTCTTGATTTTCGTCTGTCCACTGTTTTTTAGCATGAAACATGAAAGTATATACCAAAGTCAATTGAAAAAATAAATTTATCTTCACTGTCTCAAGTCCTATTTCCAATTTTTCAGTGCATCTTCTTAACTCAGGAAGTTGTTTGTTAAAATAAGGTTTCTCCAATTAAGATTACAACTTTAAAATAATTAAATCAAAGCCGGCTTTTGTTGTGAGCGGGAAAGCAGATGTATTCACTATTAATCAGGGAAGATATTTCGTAACGATGCCTTCCATTCGCCATCTTTGTACATAATATGGAACATATAAATTTCTTGCCATTTGATTTGTCATACATCCTCAAAGAACAAGCATCAAAGACAATTAAAACTCACAACTCACAATAACAACAAGAATTCAATTATCTTCACAACTGACAATAACAAGAAGCATCACCAAACTATGGCCAAAGAAATTGCTCCAAAACTGAACATCCTCAAAGAAAATTATACTTTTTAAATACCAAACACAACTAAAACTCTTCCAATCCACCTCCAATCGAACGGTTCCCAACAAGAAAATGAAAATATTATCAATAATAGTGAATATATGAAGGCAAGGAGCAAATGTTAATATTGATTTACCTAGTCGTGTTGCTAACAAGTCTCTAGTCGCTTGTACTAAGGTAGACTCACATGAAATTTGTGTAGAAAGTTCACCTAGTCTTTGAAGTCATTTTTTGTTGATGTGAGGGATTTTATATCGATTTCCCCCTCCTAATTTCATGATCTCTATTGCAATGTCAACCACACACAATTGAGCTTGATGGGTGAATAGTCAGAGAATGCATTCTCTATTGCACTTACAAGCTCATGGATATTCCTTGCGCACATTTTTTGTTGTAGCGACTGTATAGCCCTGAAATACCCAAGGTTAAGTATATTCAAATATGGAGAATTAGGGGGTTGGCAAATTAATCGAATGTCAAAGCCATTTTGTGAGCTGCTGCTACAAAATCAGGGTAATTAGGAGGGACGTGTGTCCTAGCATTGTCTTGTTGGACATAAATAGTTTCTCCGAAGATAGGCCACTTCTCAATAATAGATGGGATAACCTTTTCAATCAAAAACGCTTTCACATTCTCTCTTTTGACAGATGTGATCGCCTTCATCTCCATCGTGCCAGCTTGCCTGTTCATGCTATTTCTTTGTGTTGGTTGCTCTGTCACAAACGCCCAACATCCAACTTTGCCCGAAAATACCACCATTCCTTCACCATCAAATCTAGGACGAGCCGTGGCTGCTAGAAACATGACTTTTGCAATGTTATTTTTACTTTGGCATGAACAGTGAAGATCTTCTTCATTGTCGAACAGGTAATAAGTTTGCTCCTTCTTTGTCATGTAAAATCATTTCTCGTCAATGTGTACATAGTTATACATTCCCTTAAATTTTGGCTCATTCGACGTTGTGCTTTCATCAAGCATCGATAAACAAAACTCTAGTCGTGATGTTTTGTTTTCGTCTTTCAAATGTGGTTTGATGGCACTTGAGTAAAGCATTAGAAAAAGATGGAAGTGTTGTTCGTTGATGCCACTCTATCTGTTGAATTCTATTTAAATCCACCTCAATTTGTTTACGACCACAATTTCGTGCCTTTTTCGATGAAACATCCACATCTGAGCCTGGTGGAGTTCTCTTGTGAATTTGCCATATTCTTTGAACTGTTCGCATCTCCTCAATATTGAATATATCTTTCACTTCTTTTGTTGTATTCTTTTTCAATTTACCATTTACATTTTTCTCCAACAAAGCATGGTAAACTGCCCAACGTTCAACGTTAGTTAGAGTCATTTTCTTTCTCCCTTGAACATTGCCTATCAAAATTGGTAACCAAATTTAACATAGAGAACCAAGCAATTTGAAGAAATAACATACAGAACAAAACACTTCAATTGAAGGGCGAGCCAAGGTGAAATAAAAAATTCCAAAAAACAATTTCTCAACAAGATTTTTTTTTCATCACATGGATTATGAAAAAGAACAAAAAACCAACACCCAAAAAAGAAGTGATTTTTTCCAACATAAATTTTCAAATCCCAAGAGATCCCATGTATGTATGTATCACCACATGCAATCAAAATTTCAATATACAAAGAAATGGCTTTTACCATTCCCTTTGTATCTTCACAAAGAACTGAATAATTTACTCAATTATTAGTATTTCATACATGTCAAAGTGAAAGAGAAAAAAAAAGGTGAAATTCTGAAGCAAGATATTACCAAAATCCCTTAAAACAGAACATCAATCTAAAGATACTCACAAACAGTGGTGAAGAATTCATATGTTTGACATCCAATAATTTCTACATTGGTCATAAAAAGAGTCATTACATCACAAACTACTGAACAAAATAAAAACAACATTAATCAACTGCTAAAAGATGGAAATCTAGAAGATTGCAGAAAATTAATCAAGAAATTAAAAACTAATTAGCAAATATCGTCTTGGACTCTTCAAGATACATTAAGAAAACAAAAGAACATTTTTCTCTCTCTAAACATACATGCAACACGTATAGCTATGTACGAAAGAACATTTTTCTAAGATTTTAATTTTTCGTAAAATAACTCACCTTGTCTTGTCTTCACTGCTTCACCATTGACGTTGTCAAACTCATTGAAGATCTCTTGTCCACTCGATATTACGTGCTCTTATTGTACCCCTTCTATGTCTCTATTTCCTTCTCCACCATTAGCTTGCTGGCCAATATCCTCTTCCACAGATGAAACAGACCTAGCTTCGTCATCATCTTCAAAAAATTGATTTAAGTCGAGCTCGATAATAGGGTATCCAATTTCCAGGATATTGTCGAAACTTAGGTCAATTATAATGTTCTGTGAGGATCTCAGGACTGCATCTTCTACGTCGTGAGGAGGTTCGTTCAAATTGATCGGAATGTTTGAAGCCATTGGAAATCTTTATTTATGATATGAGATTTAACTAATTCACCCATATTTTTAGACATTTTCAGGTGTTGCTTCACAAACTTTGAAATGTTGAATGTGAATTTTGATTTTACCTCCTTGTCGAAATTTTGGCTCCAAACGAAAAATTTTGGTGAAGGCTGTAATTTTTGTGAAGCTGTGTATTTTGTGAAGGAACGATGAGGAAGATGAAGAGTTTTTCTTCCTTAAAAAAATAATAAAGCTGAAATTAAAATAATTAGTTAATTGTAATTTTCATTAAATAAGGATAATTTTGGCAAAAGAAAGAATTCTTAATCCCTGTGCAAAAGTACAGAATGACGTTTATAATAAAAAGGAGGGAGTATCATATATCCACACTATAAATAATGAACTAGACAAAAGGACCTGTTTAGAGACCGACAAAAGGCCACTTTCTTGCTTATTTTTCTTCTTTCCTTACTTTTTTTTTTCTATTAATTTATTGCTTAAATCTGGTAAGTCATCTCACAAAATGTTAATGATTTATTATGTTAGTATTTAATTTATGACTATAAATTTTGATTATCATCATATAATGTGCTCATTAGTACTAGTCTTTAGTTTATTGTTTAAATCATATAATTATCCCAAATTTTATCCATTGACTAATCAAACAGACTGTCCGAACCAATCTTTAAAAATTAAGTTAGTTATATTTATAAAATATTAATAAATTAAATAACGGTCCATTCGGTTTAACTACCGGTCGGACCAGTAAACCATTAAACCAATAGTTTCACCGGTTCAATGACCGATCCGATTTTCAGAACCTTGCAAAATATTTTTAAACAAGGTAAAACTATTTTACAATCACCTCTCATTTCCCTTCTCTCCCATACATTAAAACCCCTCCCCTTCCTTTCCCTCTGTTAATCAAACATACCCTTAGGCTATGTTTGGTTCAACGGAGGGAAAGGGAGGGGAGGGATTTTAATGGAGGGGAGGGGAGGGGAGGTGATGTAAAATCATTTTACCTTGTTTGGAAGGATTTTGTTGGAGGGGAATGAAGGGAAAATGGCAAACCTTGTTTGGTTAGGTAATGAAAGGGGAGGGAAAATAATGTTAGAATGACAAATGTATCCTTAATGATGTTAAAATAAAAATTAAAATATTATATATGACAAGGATAAAATTGTAATTGAGTGTCTTAATATTTTCCCTCCCCTCCAAATTCCCCCAAAATTGGAGGGGGAGCCATTTTCCTCTGCGCATGAATTAGAGGGGAAAATCTCATCCCCTCCCCTCCACAAAAGAGTGAACCAAACAAAAATTAAAAGTTTCCCTCACCTCCCTTCCCCTCCCCTCTGATTCCCTTGAACCAAACACTACGTTAAACTATAAATCAATCGAGTGGAGTCTCTGCAACACAGAGTGAATCTACAGAGTGCTGAAGTTCGCCGTCGACTTTTTCTCTAGATTCTCCGGCCATACTTTATCAAGCTCATGTGATGAACTATTTTTCCTAGTCAGAATTCACCAGAAAATTATCATTCCTTTCTTTCACTCTCCGTTTTCACCACGGAGGAAACGGTTCACGTCATTTTTGCGTCCACCAAAACAGCAGGCATCGCTGTTGGTAAAAACCCCGGCTACCAAACGAACTCTCCGATTTGTCCAGAAACACAATTCAATACTTCCATTCGACTTTCTTGTACAGATGCCGTCCAGCATCAAGTTGAGTTCTGATCTGTAAGTTATTTCCTTCTACCTCATCTTTCTTGATGTTCTAGATATCAGCGTATGTGTGAGTGTTTTTTGCAGGAATATTAAATCGGAAAGTTAAATGTTTTGTTTGCAGATAGCGTTAATTTTGTGTATTTTTAATCTGATTGATTTTGCGTTTTGTTCAAAACCCTAATTCTTGTTTACAGATTTAAAGCTTTTGGTTCGTGTCTACATTTTTTTATTTTTGTATATTTGCTGTTAAGTTGATATCGGTGGTGATGAAGTGCAAGAAACAAGAAAACGAACTACGCTGCTGTATGAGTGAACCAAACAAAATATGTGTTAATTCAAGTTCTGATTATCTTCAACCAATTTTCTCATACTTTAGTATATATCATGAATTGTGCTCGTACATATGTATTTTAGATGCATTTATTGTTCGGATGGAGAATGTAATTTTTTTCCTATGGTGATTGTGTGGTGTGGGTTGAAAAATTGCGTTTCCTGTGTTATGTTTTTAGGTTTTGGGAGTGTATATAGACTTCTAGGAATCATGTCGAGGTCGATGCTGATAATTCTTCTGCTGATGGTATTGGTCATCACGTCCCAATTTGAATGGAGGCAACAGTTTGGGAATGACATGGATACAAATCCAAGGGATCCTCAAAAGCAGCTCACGGTCTCGAAAAGAGAGGAAGAAGTTAAAGAGAAGGTGAATCTAAGCTTTCTCTGAAACTTATTCATCGTGGCTTTGACTAATTCACTTATGGGAAATTATGTCGATACTTGGATTATTGCATGAAATTCCAGAATTGTGCATCGCCATTGGTTGGTACGCCAGTTGCAGGCATTGCATGTGTTATATTTGACTTTTTGTTCTTAGATCAACTTGTTATAGTGTGAGTAGAATCTTATGTCGGCGACGTTTGAAATGATTGGTTAAGATTTTTTAAGCAAGTTTTTCTTAATGTTTTACCCTTCATTGTTCTGCATACAATTTTGATGAGATTTTACTTTATGCATCTGCATATTCCGACAATTATTTTCTATGCTTCTTTATTTACATTTGCACTAGACAAACTCATTTTCCTTTTTTTTTTCTTTAGCTTCTGTGTTCTATTTAGTGTTTTTGTATTAAATCATTGTTATGGCTGTTGAACTTTGTTACTGCGGTTTCAAAGTGCTCCATGATCGACATATACACATTGTAACATTATTTGTATACATCATACATGGCTAACTGGCACTGAAACTCTGTAAATCCCTTTTTACAGGATACAATGCATAATTTCTGAAGTTCAATTATTCTTAACTTTAGTGCTTGAAATACAATGTTATAGGGATTTTCTCCAGTGATATCACATTTTTGTAAGTATGTCTTATTTTCTTAATGAGAAATTTCTGCATTAAATTTGCTGTTTTGGAATGTCATGACATGCTTCCAAGGATTATTATGCTTCTGAGATCAAAACCAAGTATTTTTCGCATGTATCTTTCGATGACAAGAAGATATATAGTCATATAACTCAAATGGTGCAGGCTGGTATTTCTATTCAACTGTATTGAGAATATAAACTACAGATTTATAAAATTATGGCTAATAATACCACAAAACCATTGCACGATAGTAATTGGTTCGCACTCTTTTGATATTTGAGGAGAAGCTCAATTTAAAATCTAGCTTAAAGAATGTGGCTTATTCTCTTAAATGCACTGCTATTTTGTTTGTTTCCCGGAGCTTTGATATTTGACGCAGAATAGGATTGTGCCACTCGACAACTCAAACAAAGAGAAAATTGAAAGAGGAGAGGAACCTGAAAATATGGTGTGGGGCTGACTTCTTGTCTATCCCACTTAAAACCTGCAAAAACTTGGGACTCTCTTTGTCCGGATCTCTGTTTATCTATTTCTTTTAGTAAGATAAATGTCGACCCTCTCTCTTATCTCCTCTGCTTTGGCTGAACCAATCATATGAACTAAATTGTTTCATCTTTACTTGTGCCTACCTTTAATTGGGGAAAAATAATGTATTAGGATAATCCTGTAATGTGTAGGCTGAGATACTCTGGGAAGTTGAAAGCAGGAGGCTGCCTTGGTCATGAAAGGAGTCAAAATAGTCAATTTTGGCTTAAGTCAACTTGATAGTTATTGCTGTTAGATTAGGACAATTTTGTTTGACATATGAGACTAAGAAAAGGTGTTTTACTATGAGAAAATTACCACATCTGTAAAAGTCAATATTTAAATTTTATTTTTTTCTTTAAAATTTTAGATCTGAAGCTCATCATTGTTGTGTTAGATGTTTGACTAAATGTCTGAAATAAGCAATTAGTGCCATCTGATAGTTTTGCCCATATGCACGTTAAACTAACATCCAAGAACTAGAAAAAGTGGACTTTCCTGCAAGTCTCATGTGAAACCGTATGTGAATAGAGACACACTTTACGATTTTTACGTACTTTTTTATGTCGTTGAAGTTAACACGTTCATAATAAATTGGTTCCTGTAGAATGTGGTTATTAAAGAACTCCATTGTGTTTTTATCTGTTGTTCTCCTGTAGTTTGCGCACTCGTAGTTTCGAACATATTTTCTCCGTAGAAATCCTTAGTCTTAATTTTTTTATCACTGCTGAATCTTAATTTGACGAGTAATGCTGCATTTTGAATTTCATACGTTATCTACTTGTGAAACAGATTTTCTTTGAGCCTGTGTACACATCTAACATCCCGTGCTCTGCAGATTATACTAACACAGGAAAAGAACATCCATAGGCTGAACGAGGCTGTACTGAATCTCAAGGAACAGCTAAAAAAATGTGTTTGCTATAACGTGACATCAAAAAAGGCTCTCAACTCGTTGGCAGAAAATGTTATTGGGCTCGAAGAAGAGCAGATTGTGGATGAGTTCGACCAGCAGGAAGAAATTCCAGTGGACTAGAAATGACTTTTTTTCCTCTCTTTCTTTGTTTTTCCTTTGCTTCAGGTCTGCACTGTTGACTGGAAAATAACCTGTGGTGCTGGTTCTCTCTCTCTCTCTCAAATTTATTGATTAAAAATATGCAAATATGAAAGAGTTAATTTAGAATAAACTGGTCTCAGATTTTAATTTTACAACTGCTGCTGCCACTACCACTTTGCGTATCATATTCAATTATTCATTCACAAAGATCTCTGACTTTAAATTTATTACATTAATAAAGTTAATACATTCAGTGTTGGTGCACTTAGAGCCATGCTACAACAAATATAATAGGCTCTGTGATGTAGTACACACATGATTTGACCATGGGCTAAAATAATTGTACTATTGTACATAGACATGACCACCGGGTTGCCCGGCCTGCCAACCCGGCACTGACCCGGCCCGGACCCAGCCCGGTCAAACCCGTTGACTACGGGTCTGGGACCGGCCCGGATTTCATACGGGCCGTGTAAGGGTCTTGTTTTTTCGCCACTGACCTAGCGGGCCGGGTCCGGTCCGGCACGGAAAAAAACCAAAAGTTTGGAATTTTCTTTTTTTTTTAAAGAAAACAGGCCAGACCTGGGTTGGGCCCGGTCCGGCCCGCCGGGCCATGGACCCGGCACGGACCTAGGCCGTGCCAGTTTAGGGTCAGTCCAACCCAGCCCGCCCGACCTGGCCCGGGTTTTGGCGATGTCTAATTGTACAAGGAAATTTGAGCGTGAAACACCTTTTATTTAACTAGCGGTAGTACTTTTTTCTACTATTCGTCTAATATTCGTCTAACTGGATGGTGTGTGCGTTACACATGCTCGTACTGCGATAATTTGATTTTTTTTTTCTATAATATTTTAGCTTAAAAATTGAAATTTACTATCTCTAATGGTAGCACTGTTTTCCATTCTCTGTCCAACTTGACGGCGTGTGTAAGTACTATTTTCTACTATTCGTCTAATTGGATGGTGTGTGCGTTACATTTCTATCCATTGCTAGACAAAAATTATTGCTAGACAAAAGTTGATGCGTATGGGTTCGAACTTTGGCCAAAACATTAAGAGAGTAAAACTTTATGAAACAAAAAATAATAAATAAAATAATAACAAAATAAAGTAACTATAAAAAAAATAATTAAAATAAAATAAAAAAAATTAATTTGAATAAAAATAAATGTGTAATAATAATAATAAATAATATTATTATTTAATATAAAAATAAAATGATACTACATTTAAATAAATTATGAATATAAATATAAAATAAAATTTAATATATAAATTAAAATACATTGTAATGGAAGTAATATAATATAAATATATATAAATGTAACTAAATTATATTAAACTAAATTTATTCAAAACAAAATAAAAATGGTACTGGTACTTCTATTTATAATATGTTATTAAAGTAGTAATTTCTCAAAATAAAATTTTTTATTCAATCACAATACATGAATGGTATTTATTTCTTTCATTTATGTTTTATATCATTTTATGTTTTTTTAGGTGTTTGATAAATACATAAATATTTTTTCAATGAAATTCTTATTTTGAAATTTATAATAATAATATAAATACTTATTTATTCAATTTATTTATTTTGAATTCTAGTACATCTATAATGTGATAACCCATTATTCATTAGCCAATGTCCCATGCATTTTATGTTTTTATATGTGTTAAAATGCTAAGAGATCACATTTTATAATATGCTTATTTTAAAAGATTGTGATTATAATAAAAAGGGAATATAGAATATTATTCTAGACCAGAGTGGGGGGAGGGGGGGAGGGGGACTAGATGATATAGAATATTATACTAGACATGTTTTAATGGATAAAAAGGAATATATTGGAGAATAAGTCTACACATGGGCTAGGACACATGGCATGATGATATTTAATGGATAAAAAGGGAATATATTGGAGAATAAGTCTACACATGGGCTAGGACACATGGCATGATGGTATTAGACAAACCCAACTTGGGTCATAAGGTACACTCCCCCTATAAAAGGGAGCTAAGGTATCTCACTCTCTCTACATTCATAATTATATTATTGGGATTTGGAGTTTTGCAGTGATATTTACTTGAGCGTTAGAGGCCCGACGCCGGGATCCCTCCCGACGTTGGGTTCTTGCAGGTACGGAGGCTGTTCGAGTTGAAGGAGCCTAGGTGAAATCAATTTTCACCAACAGAAAGAATGATCTTCCGTTCACTCGATGATGACCCATTCTATCTAAGTGCAAAACAACAAAACAAAGAACTTGTTAAATCGAACATGATTTTCATTCATAAAGGGCAAAAGTGTAATATCATCAAAAGCCAAGCTTTCAGTATATAACACGAACACCACCGTCGACGACCACCCCGAGCCGCAGCTGCGCGATAATCTCGCTCGCCCCGACGACTACCGCATGCAACCCGCGACGCCGTCCGACCCGCCGCACCCGCACGAAGATCCCGCACACTCAGGTGACCCTGCGATGCACGCACGCTGCTCCCGGCCAAGGCTTCCGACGAGTTTCTTGAGTCCGACGAGAAGAATCCGGCAGCCCAACGGATTTTGAGTTCCTACGATCTCCTACAGAGGAAATCTACAACGACTTAGAGTATGCAATTTTAAGCCGCAAGCTTTCATCTCTAAACCTCTAGATCCGCTGCGCGTAGGTTTATTGTTGCTATTGAATTTGTAACTTGTACATAACGAGATTCTCACCGATCCCAACATTATAAACTCCTACCTCCCCAACTCAACGCTACCAACCCACAACAGAAACCCATACTAGCACACAAGCAAACAATCGCAGCAAATTAAAACCACGATCAGAGCCTAAGAGCTACAGAAATATACCACCCCAAAACTTAAAACTCAACAAAAGCGTCTAGAAAGAACCGATGGGAAGACAAACCTGAGTCTAGATCTGAGCTCCCGAAGACGCGAATTAGGGGAAAAAGAAGGCCCATGGGGTTTGGCTCAACGAGCTGCGCTGGAGGAACCCATGCTCGCGCTACTGGAGGGAGACTGACCCAGCTGTGAAAGGCCAACCAGGGTGGCTCCAACTTGAAAAACAACGACGAACTAGATGCCAAGAAACCTTCAATCGACCTCCACGAGGCAGAAGACGACAGCCTGGAACGTGGCCGGAAAGAGGGCTGTGTGGTGCAATGCGCTGCTGACCCTCTCCCGCACTAGACAGCAAGTGGGTGGAGAAGTCTCCTGCCTCATCCGCGACCGAAGCAGAGGGCGGAGAATTGCGAGCGTCCGGCGGGAGAAGGGGGGTTGCGGCGAGAAGAAAAGCGGGACTAGTGGTTCGACAGAAAAATAGGGCAGAGAGAATGGGGACGCTTTAGGTTGCGAAAGTTGAATAAGAAAATTTCAGAGAAATGTGTGTTAAAAGTTGGTTTTTTATTTAAAAAATTACTTTAATAAAATTGAGGAGAGAAAATGTAAGATAAATGAAATGTAATTTTTTTAGTTTTTTTTTTAAGTCTATTTTCACCCTAGGAATTTGAGTTTCATGGTATAATAACTTTATTCTAATAATACAAATTATAATGGATTTGTGCATTGTAAGGCATAAATATTTGAAGGGGCGTACAAAGCAAATTTTCCCAAGTAGTGGTGATATGACCGCAATTAACCCTAAATTGGACTTAAATGCATGCATATCCACCCATTCCATAGCATAATTGATGTGATACCATGAATAGAATTGACAAGTAGTTGGGTAAATTTAGTATTTATCTTAATACTCAATCTGCAATGAATGCTGTGAATAGTTAATATGTCCGAAGAATTGCTCATGCATTTAAGTTGTCTTTCGTTGAAGCAATTTAGCAATTAAAAATATATGCAATGGTGCTTGTAAATGAAAGTTGAGAACTGACCAATAACATTAAGTAATGTATTACAAACGAAGGTTCTAATAACATATTTATCAAGCCATTAAGTCAATGGGTTTATAATTGAAATGATTGAACCGATATTTTTAATTTATTAATATTTTTGTAATATATATAGTATTTCAAATAATATTTTTTATATATAAAAATTTACTTTATTGAGTACCTAGATAATTTTAAACATTTAAAGTCCTACACTAATTGATAAGATAATTTTATTTATATTAACTATCTATTTAAAAATACTAAAATTAATTTTATAAAGAAATAGAAATAATAACCCGTCCGACCAGCCAAAACCAATTCTTTAGGGGGTGCTTGTTTCAAAATATCTGTGTTTGTCCCATTTTTGTTGCGTTTTTCGTTATCTTTTTGTCTTTCTTTTTCCCCCATTTTAGGTCGTTTAGATGAATTTTAGTTCGTTTTGTAGTTTATTTCGTGGTTCGCTCTATTTTAGTCTTTCGTATGTTTTTCGTGTATTTTTCCGGTTTCTCTTTGTTTATGGTGTGTAGGTTGGAAGTCTCGGGAGGACCGGATTTCAAGCAAAAATTAGTCAGGCAAGCCTAATTAAATAGAGGAGTTCGTTGGAAACACACAGGAAAAAGCAGAATCAAATTCCAAGCTAAAACGAACCCGAGAAGCAAAGTCCAGCAGGCTGGCCAGGCCCCGCGCCCGTGCCGCGCCGCGCTGCATGCTGCGACCTCGACTG